TGTGCGTGTGTGTGTGTGTATGTGTGTGTGTGTGAGTGAGTGAGTGAGTGTGTGTGAGTGAGTGAGTGTGTGTGTGTGTGTGTGTGTGTGTGTGAGTGAGTGTGAGTGAGTGAGTGAGTGTGTGTGTGTGTGTGAGTGTGAGTGTGTGTGAGTGTGTGTGTGTATTCAAAGGTGTTGAAACGAGGTTCACGTCGTCTCTTGGACAAGGAACATCTACCATGGCTGCGGGCCGAGCAAGCACGTACCTGAAGCACGACACGCACACCGTGGGCGTGTGCGTGACAAACAAGATCCGGATCGTCACTCCATGCGATCGTTGTGGCCAGGGAGAAGTTGAACCTGAAATGAAATGATGAGTGAGTGTGTGTTGGGTGTGTGCGTATGTGTGAATGAAAATGTGTGTGTGTGTGTGTGTGTGTGTGTGTGTGTGTGTTTACGTGTGTTTATGTGTACGTGTGTTTATGTGCAGCCGTGCGGATGTGTGTGTGTGTGTGCTTACTGTCTCCAGTACTGGGCGGTGAAGCCGAAGATCTCCGGCCGCTGTCCTTGGATTGGCTTGCACAGACTCGCATCCTACACACAACACACAACACACGCGCACAGTGGAGTGGTGATGACTGAAATGGCGAGCAAGCGTGCAGCAACAGTGTAGCAACCACATGACCCGCCTCCCCTCCGGCAACGTACGCACCTGGCATGGACAAGCGGCCGTTGGTGCCGCTGCTGCTGCGTGCTGGGTGCTGGAACCAATCACAACAACAGCAACCAGCAACAACAACAGCACCACGTTCACTGACATCATCATCATCAGAGTGCATGCACAACAAACACAAACAACAACAGACGCCAATTATTGCGCGCTGACACACCACCACTTTCACAAACACCTGTCACAACAACACATCACGACATGGCACGGGTGCTGTCGATTCAGAGCCATGTGGTGCATGGCTACGTCGGGAACAAGGCAGCGACCTTCCCACTCCAAGTGCTTGGCTTTGACGTGGACGCCATCAACTCTGTCCAGTTCTCAAACCACACAGGTGTGTCTGTGCTTGTCTGTCTGTCTGTCTGTCTGTCTGTCTGTCTGTCTGTCCCCGTGTGCTTGTGTGTGTGTGTGTGTGTGCGTCTGTGTGTGTGTGCGTCTGTGTGTGTGTGTGTGTGCGTGTCTGTGTCTGTCTGTCTGTCCGTGTGTGTGTGTTTGTCTGTTTCTGTGTCTGTGTCTGTGTCTGTGTCTGTGTGTGTCTGTGTCTGTGTGTGTGTGTGTGTGTCTGTGTGTGTGTGTGTGTGTGTGTGTTTGCGACTGTCCCTTCGGCTTCCTCATCACCACACACTCTGCACACGTACATCTCCTCTCTTCCGCACGGCTCATCCTTCTTGCCGACCTGCTCTCACCCCTGCAGGGTACTCGCAAGTCAAAGGGACAAAGCAGACGGCCGAGGAGCTGTGGGACCTCTTCTCTGGACTCGAGCACAACGACCTTCTCTCCTACACCCACATTCTCACAGGTGCGTTGTCTCGTGCACCTGCGAGCATGCACCCATGTTTCCACCCACATGCGTTGGCATTGCACCACGCCACAGCACGTGTGCATGCACATCCAAAGCCTCCGTTTCTGCCATACACACACACGCTTGCACACGCGCGCATGCATGCATGTAACCTGCTTCCCCCCTTGGCCGCGCCTTGTCCAACACAGGCTATGTTGGCAGTGCGGAGTTCCTCTCCACTGTTGTGTGCATTGTGCGGAAACTCAAGGAGGTGTGTGGGGGGGGTGGGTGTGTGGGTGTGGGTGTGGGTGTGTGTGTGTGGGTGCATGCAAAGTCTGCGCTGTGCTCATGGACTGACTGACTGCCTCAACCAGCTCACCAATTAGCTCTCTTCCCCACCACCACAACAACAAGGTGAACCCGGATATTGTGTACGTGTGCGACCCAGTCCTCGGAGACCATGGCCAACTCTACGTCCCAGCAGGTTGCGCGCGCGTGTTTGTGTGTTTGTGTGTGTTTGTGTGTGTATCGTCGAGGCGTGTGTGTGTCGCTGCCCGTCAATGTTCGTGTGACGGCTCGTCTATGATAGCGATACTTCTGTCTTTCAAACACACATTTGCCTCCGCGTGCCGTCGCGTTTGCATGGGGTGCAGACTTGGTTCCTGTGTTTCGCACAGAGTTGATACCGCTCGCCGACATTGTCACGCCAAACCAGTTTGAGCTGGAGATGATCTTGGGTCCGTTGAACAGCGCTCTCGGCGATATCCTGCCTGTTGTGCAACTGCAATGCGCCTCCTCCTCTCATGGACGTTCATCACCCTCTGCCTACTGTCCAATGTAACACCCTCACACAACCGACACCACTCTCGCACATCTTGCATCTCACCCACGCCCCATATGCACTCACCCGCTCCATTGTTCACACGACGCACACCGCAACACGCCGCCCCATTTTAGAGTGCGACATCAAATCTGAGGCGATGGCGTTTGAGGCGCTGCAGCGGTGCTTGGCACTCGGTATCAAGCACGCCGTGCTGACCAGCTTCCATGGCGACACCCGCGAGCGGATTACCTTGCTCGGCTGTGCCCATCCACAGCGGAGCAAGGAACAGGCAGAAGCGGCACAGGGGAGCACTGCGGACGGTGATGGAGGTGACGGAGACGTGACGTCTGAGCTGACACGATACCGCCTCACTGTTCCTCGGTTCGATTTCTACTTCACCGGCACAGGTAGGTGTGTGTATGTGTGTGTGTTTGCGTGTGTGTGTGCGTGTTTGTGTGTGCATGTGCGTGTTTGCGTGTGTGTGACTGTGTGACTGTGTGACCGTGTGACCGTGTGTGGCAGTGTTGTGTGTGTCTTGGTCGTGAGTTGTGTGACCACGACGGCCACATCACCATTTCCGCACGCGTTATCAGGCGACCTGCTCTCTGCGCTCATCCTCGCGCGCACGTGGGAGGCGCCTGCAGACCCGATGACAGCGGTCGCAAAGGCAGCAGCGTCCCTTCAGGTAGGTGTGTGTGTGGGGGGAGGGGGGGGGGGATATGGGGGGAATTTTATATGGGTGGATTGTTATTTTTTTTTGTAAGGGGGGGGGGCATTATTTATAAATACTTCGCATAAAGACCATGATATTCTTGACTAGTCAATTAGGGGGGTTGAACTTCACCTCGTTTCCAATTCGATGCCAGGCGAAGTCGTGGGGGGAGTTACCACCACGACTGGGGCTTCAATTCACTTCGCATTCACGAAGACGGGCAGAGAATTAGTGGAATGGCGAATCACTTTCGCCATTGACGTACCTATATCGCGTTT